TAAAAAACACGCTTTTAAAGAACATCGAACTGAAAAGTTGAAAATATTTTTTTAAATAAGCTTAAAACAATAACGACCGAAAAATACTAGTATTATTGTGACAAAAGCGTGGGCGTTTTGTGTCATATTTTTTGTATATCGAGCGTCCAGGTTTTTTTCACAATATTACTAGTAGTTTTCGATCGCTATTGTTTTAAGCTGATTAAAAAAATATTTCCAACACTTTAGTTCGATGTTCTTCAAAAGCGTGTTTTTTAGTTTTCTAAAACTATATTTATTTATTTGATTACCAGTTATTGCAACTACAGGTTTAGAAATATCTGCATTCTACCTACAATTTACACGATTTGTTCGTTGATGAATAATGTTCCAACTGATTTTTTATTTTCATAATTTTCAGGAGCAGCCGCTTTGAATACTCAAAAGAACGTAATCAACTGAAACTTCACGTTATTTACGTCACAGGAAAGTATTTTCTGTAACAAGTTTTGGAAACCGCGTAGCTGCTTTGAATAATGATGAATAAGCTGTAAACCGAATACGAATGTTATGTTTCTCATTTAAGGAAATTGTCAGTTTATTTTAATCGAACATGAATAATAGGGAGAACGTAGCAAACATTTAAATTTTATGGCCACAATTACGAGCATTGTATGTTCAGTATGGATACAAAACATCAATACATAGTATCACAAAATAATTAACATACATATTTACATGAACCATTGAAAATGAATGCTTCTCTGGTCATAAGAAACTAATTTCCAGGAAGTTTTTCAATAAATCTATAGACAATTCTTGAAGTTTTGAGAAGTTCAGAAAACATTGGGTGTGACTAAACCACATCCTAGAAGAAAAAAATAATTTCTTTCTATGAAGGTAACGAAAGATATTCTTAGAGAAAGTAACTCACTTCAAACTGGGATTACGAAGAGCTAGTATTAGTTACTGATTGATAAAAAAATAAGTGGTCAAACTGAGTATACTATGAACTGTGATATCTACGTTAATACTCTGTAATAAGTGCCATTTGAATCAGTGTACTTTTGTCAACGTAACACAAGTAGATTAATTCCGTCAGCATGAAAATCAAGTACTCTGTAGTCAGTAGTGGATTGGTGAGAGATCTGGGGAGTATGGAGGGTGCGGCAGAACTTCGAAGCTCAATTCGTTTGATTTTATGAAGGTGATTTGTTAAACGTGCGGACGTGCATTGTCGTGGAGTAGGATCTGACCCCGCCCGTTGACCAGTGTCGGCTGCTGTTGACGCAACTTTTGGGACATTTCGTCAATTTCTTGTACTGTGATGGTTTGGCCCAGTTGCAGAAAGTAATAGTAAATCACACCAACCGCTGACCACCATAGAGTAACCATAGTCTTTTTGGTGGGTTTTTGCCTCTGGGATGCAGAATCTTTTTCATTATCATTTAGAAATTCAATAGTTGGCTTTCCAACACTTGTTGTTCCTATAGATCAGGGGTCTCCAAACTACGGCCTGCGGGCCAAATCCGGCCCGCCAGTGTCATCAATCCGGCCCGCGACAGCCAATGATTTACTGTCATCAATCTGGCCCGCGACAGCCAATGATTACTTAATTGTTGTTACTATTTCTGTGATAAGTTGAAGAAGAAAACACAGAATGATAATCACTCGGTATTATTTACTTGCAAGGTAAAACTCAACGACAGAAATGATGACAAAGAAAACTTAACTTAAGTATCTAAGTTTAAGCATAATAATAACTAACAAATAATTGAAATGAATCACAGTAAAACAAAAACACTAATGAGATTTATGTAATTGCGATTTTCCACCGACAATACTTTGTAGTTGTGGATCAATTTTACTTGTACCAATTATCAAAAGAGATTT